CTGGGTGTCATACGTAAGCGAGGAATCACTAAATCCTACTGAAACCAATACTACACTGTATGTTAACTAACTTGGATTCAAATTAAAAATTTAAAAAGAGTGCACGGCACTGGTGCACCACATAGAGAATGAAAGCTTCATGAGCTGAGTGAATAAAGAGGGGGCGGGGGCGAGGGAGCCACTCCCTCCAGACCCTGGGGCCCCAGCACCCCTGACGATGCAGAGAACAGGTGCACCCCCACCGGGGCATGGCTGTGGGGGCCCTCCGCGGAAGAAGAGAAAGCACTGAGCCCCGTGAACTTAAGTACAGACGCAAACCAGAGAACAATGAGGAAAGCGCTTGGAAGATAAAAATATGATAACAGCAATAAAATTCAAAAGAAGGATTGAGAAACCGAGTCAAGAAAATCTCGCAGGAAGTAAAGAGACAAGAGGGGAGAAGAAAAAAGAGGGGAAGTGGGGAGTGAAGTTTTCAGTGTCCGCAGAGTCCTAAGGGGGCCGGACCCCCAGGACACTGGACAGGGAGGCCTTCTGGAGAAAGGAAGGAAGGGGCGCCTGGGTGGTTCAGTCGGTTGAGTGTCCAACTCTTAATTTGGGCTCAGGTCATGCTCCCGGGGTTGTGAGATCCGGCCCCTCGTCGGGGCTCTGTGCTGAATGTTAAGATTCTCTCTCTCCCTCTGCCCCTCCCGGCTCCCCTGCTCGCACACACGCACTTGCGAGTGCTCTCCTCTGTCTCTCTCTCTCAAATAAAAATAAGGGAAGGAAGGGAGAGAGGGAGGGAAGAAAGGAAAGAAGAAAATGGATTATGTAATGTATTTGAACACACTTAGAAAAGATTTAAACTTCAAAGGTTTAAACATCAAAGAGCATGGAGTTACTCACAATGACATAGAAAACTATGCAAATTTTTTAAACGAGGTAATTATTTTTTGTTTTAATTAAAAAGCTGAACCAGAAAAAAATCACAGTATGATCACAGTGAACACAGTGTGAGCTAACTTGGGCAGGAGGCTCCTGTGTTGCTTAACAAGCTTCATAATTACTATTTGAGTTTTTAAATGGCATGCGTGTTTAAATTTCATTTTTTTAAAAAAAATGGGTTTAATTTAGACATGTAGATAAAAGTAAAAATATACTTCTGAATAATTGCGGAGAAAAATCCCAAAGGAAATTACAAGGAAAGCAACTGAGTACGATATATCACCGCTCATCGTCTGAGCTAAAGTGGCTCCAAAGGAAAATTAAATCCTTATAATGTATGTATTACAAAACAGGAAAGACTACAGACTAAATAAGCCTGACTTAGTAAAATGTACGACCAAACGTTGCCTTGGCCATGGGCCGTGTCCTTGGCCGTCAGCACGTCTTTCCAAGACACCATTCAGGCCTGAGGGGGATCTGAATGACGTTCTGCCTGCAGGTAAGGGAAGGCTGGTGGATGAGGCTCAGGGCAGGGGAGAAGGTCCCCAGAGAGGTCCCCCTGGAGGGGCTGAGCCAGCTCTGCCACTTAGACACCACAATCGTCACTCCTAGAGACAGACCCTCCATGCTCCCCCGGGAGCAGGGGAGTTGTGTGCGCGCGGAAGGTGCTGCACCTGCTGTCGCTGGGCTGTGACGGAGAACCGCACGCCCCGCCCCTGGGCACGCCCCACCCCTGGGCAGGTGGGACGCCCCGGCCCCCACGCGGATCCAGCGTCAGGTGGACACGGAGAGTCCAGCAAAGACCCAGCTACAAATGAGGGCATGACAGAGGCCACCAGAGTATATCTGTAACAACACCAGCACGCCCTGAGGACAGCCAGCAATGTCCCCAGGAAAGGATCATGGGAGGAGAGTACCAGCAGTCCACAGGTGGAGGTTTGAGCTACTGTTGTCGGGGTCACTAGGAGAAGGCGAAGACTCACTTTGGGCCAAGGAGGAGTGACAGGGACCAGATTCACACCCCCACCAGAAGTAACTTACAATTTTTTTAAGTTTATTTATTTACTTCGAGAGAGAGAGAGAGAGCATGGGTGAGCGGGAGAGGGGCAGGGGGAGACAGAGAATCCCAAGCAGGCTCTGTGCTGTCAGTGCAGAACCCAACTCACGGCTGGAACTCACCAACTGTTAGATCATGACCTAAGCCAAAATCAAGAGTCGGTCGCTTAACTGACTGAGCTACCCAGGCACCCCCAGAAGCAACTTAAAAACAGACAAAATATAGGGGCACCTGGGTGGCTCAGTCGGTTAAGTGTCCGACTTCGGCTCAGGTCATGATCTCACAGTTCGTGGATTCAAGCCCCGCATCAGGCTCTGTGCTGACAGCTCAGAGCCTGGAACCTGCTTCGGATTCTGTGTCTACCTCTCTCTCTCTGCCCCTCCCCTGCTCACACTCTCTCTCTCTCTCAAAAATGAATAAACGTTAAAAAATTTAAAAAAAATTTTTTTCAACGTTTATTTATTTTTGGGACAGAGAGAGACAGAGCATGAACGGGGGAGGGGCAGAGAGAGAGGGAGACACAGAATCGGAAACAGGCTCCAGGCTCTGAGCCATCAGCCCAGAGCCTGACGCGGGGCTCGAACTCCCGGACCGCGAGATCGTGACCTGGCTGAAGTCGGACGCTCAACCGACTGCGCCACCCAGGCGCCCCTAAACGTTAAAAAATTTTAAGAAAAAAAACAGACAAAATATATAAGACAGCAGTTCACAGACGCTGGCTATCTGGCAGGACACGAGAGGGGTCGGCTGAGATGGGACACAAATGAGGTGAGCCCTGCTTGCTGCCTGGAAGAGAGCTGATGGGCCCAGCACGGGGAGGGCGTGCCCTGGAGGAGGTCTCAGGTGTCACTGGACAGAGACACCACTATGGTCGAGAGAGTCTGGGGGAGCCAAGCTTCTGGGTCTGCAGGGGAGAGTGTCCCGAGAGAAGAGAACGTGGCCCTGGGGGGTCTGCGAGGGCTCCTCTTGAACGTTCAGCTGAGAGCAGACCAAGGCGCGAAGGAAAGGAAACTCTCTGAGGCCAGAGAGGGAGCCACGTGGAAGGAGGAGAGGGAAAGGTGGCAAAGCCACCTGTGTCTCCAGCCATGCTGGGGACCGGACACACACGTGCGCAGCCACGTCCCCGGTAGCACTGTCACAGCAGCCAAAAGGTGGAAGCAGCCCCCGCGTCTGGCGCTGGAGGAAAGGGAGAGACTAACTGGTCCACCCATGCAGTGAGGTCCTTACACGGAGGGCTGCTCAGCCCTGAACAAGGCAGGGGATTGTGACACGGGCTGCAGCCCGCGTCAACCCTGACGACGTTGTACTCAGTGAAATAACCACTCACAGAAGGACAAGCATCGCGTGGTTCCATTTGTATGAGGTGCTTAGACGAGTCACATCGGTAGAGACAGGAAGCAGAAGGGGGGGCCCCGGGGGAGCAGGTGGGGGTTCGTGTTGAACGGGCTGGGGGGAGGGGGCAGAGTGTCAGTTTGGGGAAGATGAGAGAGTCCTGGGGACGGACGGTAGTGCTAGTTGCACAGCCGTGTGATGCATTTCACACGGCCGAACTACACACTTAAAATGGTTAGTGGTAAATTTTACGTTACGTACGTTTTCCCAAAATTCATCTTAAAAAATACATGCTGGGAGCGGTGTGTGTTCCAATCCGTCAGAAGGAATTAGGCTCGTGGTTCACAGGACATGGGGGACAGTGCTCACAAGGGCTGCCTCCCCGTTGGGGAAAACTTTACCCTAGAATAGAGGTGGGGCCGGTCCCAACGAAGGTAACGGGATCGTCAGGGGGATCAAACGCTTCACAATCAGCTGACCCATGTCCCAGAACAAGGCTCATAAACACTCACAGGACGCAGAATTACACAGCATCCACCAACACAAAATTCACAATGTTTCCCAACCGATCGAAAACTACCAGGGATACAAAGAAACAGAAAACTACAGGATGAGGAGAAAAACCAATGAATAGAAACAGATCCAGAAATGATGCAGATGGTAGAATCAACAGGCGAGAACTTTAAAACTATGTTGTAATTATATTCCAATATGTTCAGAAAGATCTAGGAAGGATCGGATACATTAAGAGCCATGAAAGTATAAAACAGATCCAATCAAACTTCAATAGATGGAAAATATAACATCCAGGATGGAAATTACACCCACAGAATTCATTGCAAATTGGCCACTGCAGAAGAAGCAAGTGTCTAGATAGAAATGGAAACTACCCGATGTGAAACACAGAGAAAACAAAACGCTATAAACAATGAACAAAGTTCAAGTGGCCCAATGCACACACACCACCTTAAGAAACTAGAAAAGCAAAGCGCATAAACCCACAGTGAGGAGAAGGGAAATCATCAAAGTGGAAATCAACTGAATAGAACACGAAATATAATATGGAAAAATCAAGCCAAGAGCTGGTTCTTTCAGAAAGTCGGTATAAAAGTAAACCTCTAGGGGCGCCTGGGTGGCGCAGTCGGTTAAGCGTCCGACTTCAGCCAGGTCACGATCTCGCGGTCCGTGAGTTCAAGCCCCGCGTCGGGCTCTGGGCTGATGGCTCAGAGCCTGGAGCCTGTTTCCGATTCTGTGTCTCCCTCTCTCTCTGCCCCTCCCCCGTTCATGCTCTGTCTCTCTCTGTCCCAAAAAAAATAAATAAATAAATGTTTAAAAGTAAACCTCTAAACAAGCTGAAAAAGGGATAGAAAACACAGGCATCGATATTAGGCATGGGAGAGGAGGCAATGCCACAGACCCTACGGATATTAAAAGAATGATAACGGAGTATCATGCGTAACTTCACAATCTGACAACTTCAGGTGGCTGAAATTCACCTGAGCAATTGAAAATCTTCTAACAAAGCAAACTCCGGGGACAGGGAATTGGGAAGGGAGGAGGGAACCACAAGGAGCCAGATGAATCCTGTCGGTGGCCGATGTGTCCCTCACCTTGATTGTGGGGGTGGGTGGCTTCATGGGTGTACACATGTCCAAAGTCATCAGATTGTACGCTTTGAAGGTGTACTTACGTAAACTGGAACCACCTTATTAAACTGGAACCACCTCTCAGAACCACGGCGGAAGTTCAGAGAGCCCGTGGCAGCTGGCCCCAGAGCCCTCGCACAGCGGACAGATCTGCTTCCCACGGGGCTCGCCAAGTCGCCCAGGGTGTGGAGGAGGTAAGAAGCCATCATCCACCCTTCCCCATCCCTGCCGTGATGAGCTCCACAAGCAGCTGAAGACACACGGGGGCAGCCTGGTGTGGGCCCCCAGTGGGTTGCCTGCGGGGTAGGGGCTGGGGGCATGGGTACCGAGAGACAGAGGGGGTCACTGGCAGGTTCTGTTCGGGGGCTCCCCCTCCCCTGGGGTTTAGTGGCCTGGAACAGCTCCAAAAGCCACAGGTTCAGGGTCTGTGTCCCCTTCCTCCATCCTGTTTCTCTTGATGAGGTCTACTACTTAATGACAGTTGTCCTCAGCCTCAGGCCTCGATCAGAATCACCAGGCAACCCGGTAGGGGTGTGGATTCCTGGCCCATCCTATCCACGGGGCCCAAGCCTTGGTGCTCTTCACTAGCCCTCCCTTGATTTAGCCACACGGCGAAGCGTAAACACCACTGACTCAGAATACTGGTTTAGCCACCTTACAGAGACCAGAACTACAGCAACTTTAACAAGACAGGTTTATTTCTCGTGGAAAAGATGGGCTGGTCCAAGGAGCTAGGGTGATGTGTCTCCCGAGCTGGTCCCCGGTAGAGTGACCAAGTGTCTCAGTTTGCCCAAACGGAGGGGCCTCCTAGACCACGACACTTTCAGGGCTAAAACCAGCAAGTCCCGGGCAAACCGGGGTGATCCTGTGGGCACCGTCCAGGGAGGCTCTGCCGTTGCCCACGGCGGCCCTCCACCTGCATAGCGAGAGCGGGCTCAGCACCACAGAGCCCAGTTCTGCCCGGAAAGGGGAAAGAGGAAGTGGGGACAATGTCCTCCCGAGGCAGGTCTTAAGTGGTAGCTGTCTCTCCGGGCACCCCGCTCTGGGCAGGGCCTCCCGCTAACAGTGCAGGGGGCTGTGCCCTCAGCGAACACTCGGGGCTTCCGTAATTAAAGAGAACGAAGACTGGGACCCAAAGTAGGAGCTGCCTGTCCTTGTGGGGCCCCCAGGGACCGAGGGGGCCATTGTGAGTGCCCAGCCCCGTTCGGGCTCCCCATACCAACCCGCCCGCCAGGAGGTACTGCCACCCCTGGGGTGAACCCTCGCTCCGTCCCACATCCGCGCTCCGGGAGTCTGGCTGCATGGTCCCCTGGGCTTTCCGGCAAGTCCTGTGAGGTGGGTACCACCGCCCTCTTTGCAGGGGTGAGACAGGAGGGCTCTGGGAGGAAGGGGGACCGGCCAGGGTCACTTGCTGGTGGGCGGCAGGGCTGGGATTTGAAGCCACGACTGACTCTCAGTCTGTGTCAGGATGGGAGAGCAGAGATGGTCCTCCGTCACTCCAACCCCTAAGCCCTCCACCCTCGCCCCTGCCCATGGCCAGAGCCCCCTGCCAGGCTCGGGTGGCAGCTGGCCAGGGGGCCAGTATAGGGTGAGGCTGCAAGCAGGCCCCCTCTCCTCAGCCTGGCTCCTGCAGCAGGCGGGTGTGTGGACAGGGGAGGTGGAGGGGGTCTGCTGGGTCCTGGGGGTGCCCCTCCCCCACTAAAAGACGGCTGCCAGCAGGCTGCGGGCCTTGCTGGGAAACTAGAAGGCCAGAAGCAAGGTGAGGCTGGGAGCTGGGTGCAGGGTGGGGACCTGGCCACCGCCACCCACGACCACTTCATTTCCATCCCTCTGGGATTGGAGGGAAGAGGGAGGGGTCCCATCAGGTCTGGGGAAGAAAGGACAGCAAGCCCCAGGACAGGGTGAAGCTTTGAACACGTTTATTTGCGTCAGTCTGTAATGCATATACCCACACTGGACGACATGATTCCAAGCTACAGAACACGGAGGACCCCATAGCAAGCCCCCCCCCCCCCCCCCCCC